CTGATGTTGTTTTGTACAATGAAGCAATAGCAAGTATCTGATCTTTTGAACTATCCTCTTTTAGTACTCAAATGGATGTAATTACTATGGATAAGTTACGCTATCGTCAAAATAATCTATCTCGCATTTACAATATCGTCAAAATCGAGCCTTTCCTGAGTACTAAACTTCTCTAGCCATCGCATGTGCACTACTTTGCCACTGATAAGTTATCGATTATTCATTTATTCCCACCCTAATTGAATAATTAACATTTCAACAAAAGTAATCATTCATTGCCATTGACATCCCAAACTATTCTCTCTTGCAATGCCGACATTGTCTGCGTATCAAATAGTAATCCAGCAAAGTAATTGAAATATCCTGCTAATAAATATTTCCCTAAATATTTTATTAATTAGCTTAATGATTTCTGCAAGGATAACGTGACTACAACAATAACGTCTCTCCTAACCTATCAGCATCGATCATCCACGTGATAATTCCATTTATCTCAACAAAGGAACGTATCCCACAAGCCATTTCACCTGGGTTCAATTATACCGTATAATATAATATTACTAATGGACTTGGAACGTTGCCCCATGGATTTATGGGTAATGTTATTGATTCATCCATACAGTACTGTACTTCTTGAATTAGATTAAGGCGATCAAAGCTTTGTTGTGTGTTGGAGAACAATAGTAACGGTTTGTCAGTACAATTCAAAGGCCCACCTATAAATAATTACTCATTCTTTCTATTATCCAAGTTTATTATTATCAAGAGGAAGAGAACCTTAATTAATATCATCTGTGATTGTTCAAGTGTAACTTTCATTGTTGATACCACGTGTGCCAATGGAATGAAGGAACCATTTTAGCGAAGCCCAGCCCTTGCTGCGTCATTCAAAGGGCAATTAAGAAGTCTTGGATTGCTGTTCAAACATCATAAGAAATGCCTCAAACTAGCGGCAAAAACGTAACTGTATCGAAAGCCATACAAGAGCATTTTCTGCGGATTTTCATGAATGGCGATAAATGGGATTGCTATATTCTACACATGAAATTCAAGTACTTTATAGCATCGTATTACTCTATAGGATTAGTAAAAGCTTGATCTTCAAGCTTATTACAGTTTTGACCTCTTTAGGGATTACAATAACTTAATGACAACGGTCACATTCCATGATTAGAATTGTTTTTGTTTTAAGAAACTTGCTGATCAATCGTGAGGATGCAAATTTTACACGATTTAATATATGAATATTTTCGTTGTTATTGTGTACATATATACTGTAGAAGTTGTGCCATGTGATCGAGCAGCAATCGGTATGACGTTAAGAAATAATGACGTCAACGTTAAGGATATTAGAAAAACGCGGCAAAGCAGCAGTCAATTGTGATGATGATTTGATATGTATTCGAGAAGTAAATAACGGATTGAAAGCTTAAGCGCAACAGCCGCGTTTTCTTCATCTGCAGTATCTATAATGCAAATAGGACTAGCAAATCAACATTATAATTTTAGTTCTTGATGAATTTCCATTCAGTCATCACCCTTGATAATAGCAGATTCCAGGGTAGAATTATAAGCAGGTTATAGGATACATAGTCATCGTCTTGTTCGCGTTATATTGTATCATTTGCTGATTTTTAACGGATATTGGTTGCTGAGAGAGAACCCTAGATGAGACTAAGTTAGCTAATTGTGTTGATGAATTTTTTAATACGCAATAAAATGAAAGCCTAAAGAGTAAATGATTATTAAATTACTTCCCAATTTAGTTATTATTTTTAGGGAATGAACAATTGGAAGAATGTGGAAGGGAAATAAACAATATTTTCTATTAACAGCTTTTATTACCTTTACATTGATGAAATCGTAAATAGTGATTTTACTTTAATGACATTGTGTCTTATTCATACGGAATTTACCAAATCGACGATTGATTAGCTACAACTCTAATACTGTTTAAGTCAATATAATCGTTTCAATAGTAGAATCGTTAACAACTTACCGTAAAGCAAACTATATCGACATTAACACTTTTAGAAGATATCTACCTTTATAATTAAAGACTATGTCGTAAAAGCTCTAATACCATGACAAGTAAACAGTATACCCTATCATTCATTCACATCGCTTTCATTCATTCCCATCGCATATCGTATTGATAATGAACCTACTTTACAGTCAAATGACTACCACTAATACGCTACATTTTCACGAAAGTGAGCAAGTTTCTAAGCACTTTAGCTTATGGATCGATATACAATACTCTAAATAAGCAAGTATAGAAATTCTATTCCATCAAACTCTATTATCGTACGGAACTGAATAGCCGTTAGAAATCTTAGTAGTAAAACGCCATCAAGGCACAACATAATATGGGTATTTTTGCATATACTTGAAATGGTAAAGGTGTCTACAATCCAATTTGTTGATACGCAATTAAAGTTTAAAGCGATCTGACGTCAATAAAACGGAAAGCTAATTTATTAATGTTGTTTTGTTCAGTCCAGTCCAGTAATAACATTGTTTAATATTTAATAAAATATCTTGAATTCTTAATCAAATTTATCGGTTATCTATAGACTGTTTCTAGATCCAATATTTAAGTTAATGTATACTTTCATTTCATCATCTAATTTTAGCTCAATTAATTCTATCAGAATACCTTGTATCATTGCCTGGCGAATATACCTTTATTGACGTTTTATTTCGTAATTAATATATAATTAAGACTTCATTGACCTTCGCATCGTTCTTAAATGGTCTATCTCCTGTAAGTCAGGGCTGTATGCATTCGCCGTTATGACTATTTCTCTTATTAAATATTTTCAGCCACTTCGCTAGTACGGATGTAAATAATTACCGTTATTGATTTACGCTCGTATCTGAAATGTGACATAGTTAATCCGAAACAGATTGTAGAGTATGCCGACTATATTCTAGATAATAGCTTATAATAATGTTTCGCAATATCATAAACAACTCCCTGCAAGATCCTGCCAGTGATCTTAACATATTTATACCCTAACAACTATAAATTCAGTTAAACGATAGATATCAACAACATTGCTACTATTAATGATATTGTATCATAAGAAGACTACAATAAACTGGATATTTATTCATTAATACGTAAAATACTTGAAATTTGTAGCTTAATAGATAATGAATGAAACCTATTAACATAATACATAGTATGTATATTTGAAAATTACTACTATTATCCTTAATTATTATTTTTTTTTTTTAATTCATTGTGTACGGTAACTCTAGCAGTTAGTGTCTTCAGATTAACTACATACGTGTAAGAGGATTGTAAGTGAAATACTTAGGAAAGCTTACAATCAAATTACTATCTTTTTTTATGATCTATAAATCACTGAATTTAGTGTTATATCCCTGGAAGGGTGCGCAATTAAACAATGCTTATTTATACTATCTTCTAAATCGATCTAGCAATAAATAGTTGACGACAACTGTCATTAATTGATAAATAAATTTCATCTGATACATCCTTGTACAGCAGTGCATTGATGTAAGCCAATAGCTCATCTTGTTAGTACTTGGCTATACAGCCAAATTTGTTTTGTACTTTTGTATTATTAACTCACCGATATGCTTGACCGGAGTTCTATTTTACTGACACTAGAAGACAGTTGTCATTTTTATTTTGTAAAAGTGACAACAGGCTATCATGAACAAGGGGACGAAATATCTTATAAATTCAAAGTATAAAGATTGAGATCTTCCGCTGATGTAAAACTTTACCACATTATAATATGATATGTAATGTCTGTAGATAATATCGCTTTAGAACAATAATCTACTGGATTATTATAACAGCTAGTTTTAATGGAGGTAAATTCATTTCTAAATTAGCACTTGGTTATGGTAATTGGTTATACTGTAACTGCCAACTGTAATTTTACTCGACGATGTACTGTACTGTGTTGCAATCTATATGGCAGCTAAAACAAATTTTTGTGTCATATTGGGCTAATTTCTTATACAAATACAGACTGATCAACGTTTAAATTAAATTAAATACTATTACTGTAGCATTTTCAATTAACAACTTCAGGTTCACTACCAAAATTATATAGCGCTAAAGCTCACACAATTAATTCATAAACACTAAACATTATCAATATTCTAGTGGTATACTGTATATAGTACGTAATACTCTCTCATGACTATAATTGCATCATTTGTTGGAAGTTAAAGTGAGTAATGTACGCGTGTAATGCGTAGGGATTTAAGTGTAATTATTATCGAAACTCATGATATCGAGTTTTAACGCGCAGCAATCATTGACCTGCATTATTCCATGGAGTGATTTAGTAAAGACTACTAGAAAAAGACTTAGTGTAGTAACTACTCAGTTAAGGTGATCATAAATCTTAAAATCTTACGTACGTACAGATTATCCGGGCAGGATAGGACATACGAGAATGAAGGTTTTGCAAAATGATTACATCATATAACGATAAATACTAAGACGAAGTATCAGGTACGGCTATATCCTGGAAATTATAAAAGTAACAACATGTTGCTATCGTTTCAATTACATTTCTTAATTTTGTGTATTGTGACCAATATACAGTACATGAATATTTAGAATAAATACATTATACGATTCATTTGCCAACGTCTGTAGTATTATATAGTATATGAGTTAATTTTCAACTAAATGTAATCGATTTTCATATACAATAACTAATTCTGCAAGCATGAGTATTGTATAAAGTGCACATATCAAATAGATAAAATGCTAGGTAATGTAACGTTGAATATCATCTTGGAAAGGCAGACTAATTACTACAGCCAAATACTTCACGATCTCGTAACGTCAATTAGCCGATGTCAACGGTGTTGGGATACATAGTATTACTTATTTCATGCATACAATGTCAATACATTAGTCTACTGTCTTTAATATTTTATACAAGTCGTGCAAGAATATCGATATATAAAATTTTCATCAACGAAAAACACACATCAAGATCAAAGTGATGACTGGCGAGACTTTATTACAGCGTTATGTGTCGATAACAGAAGTATAGGCAATTAATATATAATTAACTGTGTAAACCATGCGACAATTTTCAAAGTCCGTACAATATCACCATCGGGAACAATCTTGATATTGACGAATATAGGTTATTAAATATTATATTAAGCGATATTAACCATACACTAAAGGTGGTAGCTATTACTCTAATTTGCTAACTTAAACATTTAAAAAGTTTTATTTGGGCAAAGTATTTGAAGTAGAGTATTTTTAATTTATCTTTATGAATTAATTCACACAAATACATACATACATACACAGTATATACGTACTCTCGGTATATTTATAAACATATATATTATGCTTACGCATAAAAATCTTTTTTAAGATTTTCGTATAATTAAGTGTACGATATATGAGTGATTATATCATAATTGCCATCCTTAGCCCTATATTAATAGTAAAAATGCAAAACTTTGGGTTAATAATCTTGAGATGCAAATAAATGCAAAGATAATGCAATATATAACATACCTTGATTTTTTCTAGGCAACGTTATCCATTTCACGAGATTTAAGTTCCATTGCACTTTCCATTAAATCACCATATTTATCATCTCGAGGCGTTGAAACAACCCGCCATTTTTCTGCAAATGTATCGCCTGGGGCCTTTACAATCTTATAGATTGCGACTCCAGGAATGCACAGCATTGAGCACAAGGCAACAAACCAGGCGATAATTTCTGACCATTTTGGGAATATGTAGGTTCCGTATTTGATTGGACCATAATCAACGAATTTAAAAACAACTACAAACTGTAAAGTAAAAGTATACAATTAAACCTTTGAATCTAATTTTAAATAGAAGTGCATTTATTAAGAAGATATCTATTTATGTACTTACCATTAAAGTAGCGGGGGAAATGTATTTCCAGCAGAATAAAAACCAATGATAAAACCATGGTTGATATCCGATCATTCGCTTTAGATCACGTCCAATACGACCGTTGCCTAATATATTATTATCGGTAAGAAGAATTTCAAAGTTTCAATATGCAAACATTTATTAATGTTGACTGAAGAATGTTCAAAGTACAACATGTTCAGACTAATATCAATAGTATACAAAAAGGTTCCATTACTTACCGTATCCCCAACCACAAGCGATACATTCACAAATTACTAGGAAAAGTAAAGATATTCCGGCAACATAATCATCCAGCAGCTGTACTACATATGCACCACCCTAAAAAAGTCATCAACGATTGTGATATTAGTTCTTGTAATCCCTTCGAAATTATTTAAACACTAATAAATCTGTACCTGACAAATGCAAGGGAATCCAAGAAGATACAAAAATCCGCATCCAATAATACAAATAAACCATTTTTTTTCACGCAACTGTTTTGGATACTCATCTACAGCAGCAGTAATAATAGTTTCCATAAACGCAAACTGGCTATCCATACCCAAAGTAATTAACATGAAGAAGAAGATTATTGACCATAGCTGCGAAACAGGCATTGCCGCAACGGCTGCTGGATAAACTATGAAAGCCAAGCTGACACCTATCGAGATTTAAGAAACAACGGTAACTATTAGTACAGTTACACAGTTAGATGTTAGCCGGACAATCTACGGTAGTATAAATTTATTCCATACTACACTAAAGCATTACTAGGACACATTAATTTATTACCTTGATCAGCAACTTCGGCAACCGGTCTTCCAGCAGTATGTGCCATGTATCCAACAACGGAAAATATTACAAAACCGGCGAAAAAACTGGTACTGCAGTTTATTAAGGCAACGGTAATAGAATCCCTGTAAATACCCAAAGAACTTATAGTTAGAATATTATAAAGGATTAAAAATAATTTGGAAACTTGCATATCAACTTGAAGTATGGTCAACTTTCACTTAGAGTATAGTTAACCTGAAGCAGTTGTTGTAGAATTGATTGTAGCTTGCCATGGTGATCAAACCACCAAATCCAACACTGAGCGAGAAAAAGATTTGTGTAGTAGCATCGGCCCACACTTTCGCATCACTTAACTTACTCCAATCTGGAGTTAAATAAAACCTTATACCATCCAGATGACCCTCCAAGGTTACACCGCGAATAAGTAAAATAACCAAAACAACATAAGGAAACGTAGCGGTAAAGTATACAACCTAAGATAGTATGTAAAAAATATTGGTATTCACAATTTAGTCCATCGACTGTGATCAGAAAGATATGTCCAAGTAATTTACTTGGACAACCTATTACAATTTCTCAAATCATTTACAAGAGTTGTTTTATAGTACCTTGCCAGAGGATTTAACACCTTTGAATACGCAGAAATAAATAACAATCCAAGCTAGGAGCAAACACAACGCCAAATGCCATCGTACTGTTCCTAGTTCGCCAATGCCGTTGGAAATTTCCAAAACATGATGACTAAAATCAATATTAAAATTTGATATTGACATCAATGCTGAATGAATTTTTTTGGAGAGGTCAACATACTCGTAGTTTAGTTTGTATACCAATCAATAGGCAAATTTTGAAATTATACTCACTTCCAGTACTGTTCACTTGGTGTCTCAACCTTGGTCGTATTGGAAACACAAGGAATGACCTGTTTGGCAGCACCAGTCACAGTAGCAGCAACAGTTGTAGCTACAGTAGTTACTGAATCGTTGCTATCACAAATTCGAACTCGTTCATAGCATTTTGCATCATTCCACGTTTGATTGCATTTTGACCAAGGTAGTGGATCTTGCATGGATGCAAATACGAAGTAGTAGCACCAAGCAATGATAACGTTGTAATAAATTGCAACTCCAAATGAGCATACACACATTGCATAGCCGACACCTTTAAATGTGAAATCCGATATTGTCACTACGCACGCATCTTACCATTTAGAATACAATTTCAAGATTACAATCCTACACACCTTTCAAAACAGGAAATAAGTTTTCCCAAACTTGCAAAGGTCCTTCCTGAGTGTATTGACCAATTGTCAATTCCAAGATAAATAAAGGAATGCCCACCAAAACCAACATAATACAGTAGGGAATCAAAAATGCACCTTGATAAAATGAAGAGAAAAAGTTGCTTAGAGATTTGAACTTTTCAATAACGGGTTGAAAATTGATGATGCAAGAAAGTTCCTACCTCCACCACTACTGGCACACAGATAGGGAAATCGCCAAACATTTCCTAGACCAACTGCATAACCGATACAAGACAACATGAAATCCATTTTATGACCCCAATGTCCACGATCCTCAGCCGCTTCAGTAGCGGATTCTTTGGTTCTTTTTTCATCAGTATGATTATAGCCATTCTAAAATTGGATATGATTATTAATTAAAGCCGTTGGAATAGAGCTAGACAATTGGAATGTGTATTGTATACCATTTGAGATTACTTACATCATCAGGAGAGCCCATGATGTACTACTTTGTTATTGGTTGACAATTCTTGAAAACACGATAGCTACGCCAAGATCAAAATTCGATTAGAATAGAAGACTTGATTCGAGTGCAACAGTATATACAACATAAAAGCATTTACTATATATATAATTTATAAATAAAACAAAAAAACAATAAAATATGACAAAAATACGACGTTGAAGTAGACGTGATCCAAACAATACAACATGAGTTATTGGTTCCTACGATAACATTCTCTATGATTACGTTTTACTAGTAGCTATCGATCAAAATAAAAATAGCGTTTTTGACAACAGTTTATCCAATACAGACGAATAACGATTTTCGCGTCTAAATATCTACATGTTACTATCACCATTTATTCAGCAAAACTACAACAGGACTGCAACAGCATTATTCTAGCGGTAGTACGATGTAAGCACTAAATAAAAGCAGACTAACGTTGGCGTATCTCCACAGTACAGTACAGTATTCCACTTGATATCTATCCATCATTACTGTAATGTTACTCCTGAACTGGATATGCAAGCATTTGAAAAATTGGACACGACTGATAAAAACATATTTACTAAGCTACTGGTGATGAATATCAAACAACAGCACTGCACCTTACTTACACCGCCGTCAAGCAGCATGGAAGAAAAATTCACTAGCAGTAGTCTTGCACACTACTTGTGCAGCAACCATGGTATTTACGCCAGCTAGAACAATATGCATTATATTGTCTACGGCAATAGCAGTACTACCTTGGCAAACTAAGCAAATATGCAGTAGTATCATCATATGTGTGTCAAGCATGAATAGAAGAATATGGATCACTAAATACGACATTAGTACACTTCAATATACTAACACTACAGTAGCCAAGTTGATTTAAAATTGCATTCATTATCGTCAATGTCATACTACTACGGTAAAGATGACCAATTTGTTATTGAAGACATTACTACCCCAAATGCATCTTTCCATACCCGTCTCCACAGTCATCAAGACTAACAAATCGCCAGTACAGTATATTACGTCTATCCTATCCGTATCACAGCGGCCATAACATCTCTATTCTGCTGGACAACGTAATCACTGATGGCCCAAATTTAAGTCAATATTTAGATATTGAACAAAGACAACAGAAGCGCCGAGCTGCATAGCAGACATGCTTTCTGTAACGCATTCCTGCTGGTGATTGGCTAATGGTAAATACCACCGCTACTTTCGGATATTATTAGATAGTATTGGATAATAATTCTCGGAAAGTGATGAAAAACTTCAATCAACTTACGCTCACTACTAGTTATAGTATTGACAATGTTTTTCGATCAAACTATTTTGGCGGCGTGACTTTTAGCTTACTTTCTACTCTTGCCATCCACTAATCATGAACAGTAAAACATGTCCAAAGGACACGTATCTCATTGCAATTAAGCGACAACTATTTTATCCTTGATGTACATAAAGTATCCACGCATAATGCGGTTACCTGCTTGAAAAGTGCGTACCGTAGTTGTAAATCAAATTGCAATCAACCTTTACAGCAAGGAAATGCTTGAACTAGAGTACGACTAGAATGTGTGTGTTTTGCGACATTCAGTAATTCAGTGGCTAAAAATAGAGTCAGTAAAGTGCAATCTGCCGCGGTACTAAACATCGACTTGGTAATGCATTAATTGATCCTCGTAGCGAACTTTAACCTTTTCATCGACATGTGTATTTCAAGCACTTGTGGTCGTGACAATACTGTATTACGTATAGAACTTGGCAAAAGTAGAAGATGGAAAAAAAATGCTTGTAAATTCTAAATATTATTGTTGGCGTATGCTGGCCCACTTTGTAGCAACGTATTTACTAACATACAGTAGTAGACGATTCTAGCTGGCGTCTAATCATGTTTACATTCCTACTGGTACTCAATAAAACTATTTGACTCAAGACTGTACAGTACTGGATGTTGGTTCCTCCTTTCCCTTTCTCTCTATGGGTAACTATGAACGACGGATTCATTGTGGACTTTTGATCATACCCTAGCAACAATAGTACAGACTGCGAAGGACTATAGACGATAATTAATATTTCCATCAGCATTGTTTAATGATGCTGCATTTTACATTAGTAGGCTCTGGCTGTGCAGTATATTAATAATGATATTATTAAAATAATAATAACCCCCCAAAAAGCATCATCTACGTTCCATTAAATAATTAGCGTATATATATATCTAAACAATACTGCATTGAACGGTTTGTACAGAAAACTTGGCAACTGTCCAAAGACACTTTCTATAAAAAAAGTCTTTTTTCAGCACTATCACTACCACTATATCAGGGTTGCACACTGGCCACCCACTGCGTCCCTGCGGGCAAGATAAGTTTAGAAACTTATCCAAGAACGGAGATCAAAAGTCACGCGGTCCCATTCCTTCTGTTTACAGTAAATCTACTCAAGTGAATACCAACAACATTACGCTTCAAACGGCCTGAAATGATCGCCATGCTTTACTTTGTAAAATCCAACTTGTCCACTACTCTATCTACAGAATGATGACCTTTGTTTCTAGCAATGTGCTAAGTGAAAAAGTACTGTATATTGAGTGGGGCCAAATTGGCACTAGACTAAGTAGACGAACTTGCTTTTCTCCATTGGTACAATACTGTATTTTTACTATCTTCACAAAGTACTTGCCCTTCTCTTCTTTCAACTTGTACTGTAGAAATGGCTGCATACTTATGAATATTCATTATCGTGGCATACGTACAGTGTTGTGTGTACTGATGGAATGGAAAGAAAATTGATTGTAGAGAACATGCGTTTGGATATTCCCCTCCCACTAGATCACTCGACACTACCCTTTGAGCCTATGCCTCGACAGCAGACTGTTGTATATTGAAATTGAACTAGCTATTTTGTCCAATGTCAGCATTACGCATCTAATTAATCTCTAACCGTATGTTATCCTACACTAGTGTACATTCAACGATCAATGAACGAGTCTTACCTTTTACAGAGAGAAGGAAGTTGTGAGCAAGACGTCTGGTTAGTCGTCAGTGGGAGCAATTTGTTTCTGGATTGGAGGAATAGAATGATGACTTGTGATCAAACGCTAAACAACACCAAAGAGAGCATGGCATTCATTTCATTGGAATGATTTTCAATGTACAAATTAAAATTGGGATACGCTGTCAGAAACAGCGTCCAACTGCAGTATTGACAAATATCAAGAAAAATAGGCTACGGCAAAATCATAACATTGCTTGGCCATCGCCTTTCATCCTCTTACCTCGTCCGTGAATTTGGATTGTTTCAGTCTTCAGCACAATGATAACTTGACTCAAGAAAGGCAAACTAAAATGGATAAGATAAAAAGCAAATGAACAACTTGAAATTCAAGTAACATTACAACAACTGTGCTCGCTTTTCCTCCATCATCAAAAACAACATCCACTAATATTAATAAATAGTAAACAGTCGAGTACTTACTTAGGAGACTTGGGCAAAATAGCGTGGAGAAATGAAAACACTCCAGCAGATGCGTCCTATATATACCATCGGCAGGTCAATCTTGCCCAATGTCCACGTGACCTAATGCATTGGAGGAGAGGCTGTCATGGCTGCTATTGTTATGCTAATGGCGATGATTGAACACAAAGGAGGGACTAATCCTAATGGAGTGTGGTGGCGGGCGGAAGATGGATTGGCTACAGCGTTGGTAAG